TTGCATATTGGGGAGTTTCTAAGTTTGAACCCATCCATTGCTTGGAAAAAATAAGCATGTGAAATCTTGATTTTTGACCGAAAATTTCCTATAAGGTTTCAGATCCAAAAGTTTCAAATTCCACATCAATTTCATCTCAAGGAAGCCAGAAAAACTTTTTTGGAGTGTTTTTAACGGTTTTTAAGGCGCTTGAAACTTATAGCTAACAAGAACAAATCCCAAAAGACGCAATTCATAAGCGGAAAAAATGTTATTATTTGTACAAATTTCAAAATATACAAAAACACGATTTATATTTTACATCCGATATTTTTTTATTACAGAACCTGAAGTTTCACAGGCTATTCTTCTTCAGAACAGCGTCAAACTAGTTGAAACGATGGCTTCCGGTAAGTGCATTAGCTCAAGAAAAATCACTAGGCAAAATATTTATATTCAATTTAATTTTTAAATTAAAAAAATCTTCTGACTTACTTAAGTGATTTATTACAGATTTGCTGGCCCCCATTTTGCTGATGATTATTCTGTTTGCTCTTAACGGCATTGTCATCTTCTACATACATAAAGCTAGAAAGAAGTAAGTGTTTGATCAGTGATCTGAGCGAATTTTGTTGAAATTAACTGCTTTGCTTGCTTTCCAATTGTGTCTGATTTATTAGTGAACATACTTGATTTCTTTCGGTTGTTCGACGTAATTTTAACTTGAACAGAGTGTTTCCAAATGCAATGCAAATATTTTTAAATCGGGTTTTGAAAGAAGAAATAATCGTCATTAAAATTTTGTAGGATGTGAATTTCGTTGTTCGTTGCCGAACATTACACGTATTGCAAAATTTTATAAATATCTTAATAACTATTTTTTGTCGCTTCGTTCTGCTTTTTTCTTTTTTCTTGCTTTTTTTGAATCACACTTTGCTACTTCCCATTCCTAATGCGTGAACTATTCAACAGCCACAGTTAGATAAAATTTGAGAAGGAACAGTCAAAGAAGATGAGGTAAATGTATCAATAAACATGAATTAATTATATTATTATCCACTAGGTTTTGTTAGGATTGAGAAGCGAATTTTGTCTATTGTTACTAGCTAGTATTAAACTAATAATTGCATAATGATTAATAGCAAAATGTGCAAATATCGGTCAAGTTTCGGGCTGCTGAATTATTCTCAAACTTTAAAATGCTTTTTATTTTTTCAGTGATTTTAGGCGACGAGGGTCTTCAAATTTCGATATCCCGTCGCAAAGACGTCTTTATTACGGTTCCATTGGAAACGATACTAGTTCTTTGAGAGGTGCTATATAAATAAATAGAAAATAATGGACTGCTTCGCATTTTTGCAAAAAAATCATTCCAAACAATCAAGCTCAAATGAATACCTAACAGGTTCCGGATTATGTTTTCTTGAAATTACTGTAATCAGGCTTTCCTAAATCATTTTTGCAAAACTTCCAGGCAGTAAGTAACATCTCTCATACTAACTGGCCCGCATTTTCCATTATCATGCTTAGAAACTTCAATTTCCACGTGCATGATAGCGAATAATTTGCCCATTGTGAATGAAAAATGAAAACATGTAACACAAGAATAATAAAAATATTAAATTTCTTATTAAATTTTGTTTTATTTCTAGGCAAACAGTTGAAGTCGTCGATGAAGAACTGGGCACTTTCACTCAAACTAAGCAATGAGAGGCTGCCTTAATGTTATAACTTCAGTAATATTTTATAAATGTATATTGAATGTTAAGGCTAATTAACAAGTTTTTTAACTACACTTGCATTGACTAAGCCCTGGCAGTAGTCAAAGTAAGGTATCCGTTGAGCTTCAAACATATATGTAATATATTTTTTCTAAGTAGGTGCCTACATTTTTAAAATAAAATTTTTTACTTGAAAGTGTGGATCAGCCACTTGTGTGATTGCAGCTTTTGAAAGTTTTAAATTCACATTTTCACTTTAGGTAGGTAATTAAGTAGAATGTTCTTGGGAGGTATTTCAACATTTTGTCATTTATTCTAAAAATATATAATGGTAAGTGTTGCAGCAAGGCGTTTTGGATTTTTATAATTTTCCTTATCCCAAATGCTCTCAACCATGCCATAATTAATACAATTTTTCAAATATTTACCACACAAATGCCATCAAAAAGCTGTTTATTCAATTTCATCTTTATACTCGAAATCATTTGATAACCGGAAGCGTATTATAAAGTAGGTATCGAAGTAATAAAGATAGCGCGGGGTTAACTATGGATAACGAATTAAAAATAACACGTTTATCGTCGATTATATGAATTTATTTACATTATATTCTTTTATATTTATTTACATACACTGTGAGTCAGAAAAGGTTGCTGTAAGGCTGGTTTCTGGTGTTTCGTGTGCGGCCTAAACCACCAACGGGCACCAATAAATCCTCACTCACCTCCTCAATTTAATCCAATAGTTGCATAACTAACACTCAATTTCTTTGTAGTTAATTTTCTCAGGATTTTTGTTGCTTAGCAGTATCTTGGTCCCTGATGGAGCGCTGCTTTGCTCATCTATAAATTACGTAATTTTACCTGCACTTTTTTGATTTGGCAAAAAATAGTACTTAGAATGATAGCTGAAGAATAATTGCAATCGGTCGCATTGTACTGTTTGGTGAGAACCTCGCAGATTTTGAGCGGAAGTTGCCTTAAAGGAACCGAACCAATTAAGGCGCATACGTCTAAAATATCAAAAATTATTCCTTAGTAACAAGAAAAATTAAATTGTTCTTGATCTTGATGATGATAATCGGAAAAAATGATAAATGCATTTTTTTGTTTTCTACCTGGATATGCATTATCGGTGCTCTTTGCAGCTGAACTACTGGTAGCTGTTAACAGTTCTGGTCGTTTTGTTGATATTAATCTTACAGGATCTGGTGTATTATCTAAACAACAAAATTATCCAAAAAAATAGGATTCCAAGTTAATCCCTTTTTCCTACCGCATTCAATTTGCTCTCCATGTACTTCAAATTGATTCTGAGGTTTATAGTAATTCTCGTGTTGCCCGTAAACTATCGTTATTCCTTCCAGTATATCCATTGTGACTGCAAAAAATATGAAGAAAATTCATACAGATTCTTGTGTTATTCCATGTTAGTTAGCAGAAAAAGGGGGTTAAAATCTTAAATAAATATCTTGTGAAAATGCGCCCAAAATTTATCCCAAAAACATACCTTGTTTTACTGAAAAAGTGTTTAATTCTGCCTATTATATTGCGATTATTTACGCGGTTACCTGCTTGTCCAAATCTTTGCCCACAAAACTCTCTTCCATTAACTGTGAAAGTGCCAGTAGTGCAAGGCCAATCAAATATTTGAAAATCCAGTTGTATTTTGCACGCATTCTGCAAAAAATAGTTAACTTTTTCTTTTAAATCATTTAAAACCGATAAAACTTGTTTTTATTTTTCTGGCCATTTTTTTGACCAGAAAGTTTTATTATACTTATTACCTCCGAATATTTTGTTACATCATAACTACACAAATTCACTTCCATTTCATTCCTTATAACGAAATACTTTTCTGAAATGACTTTTTCGCACTTAGCAGGATCCTCGTTGGCTTTGCGGGGATCAGGGTTGCACTTGGGTGGCAAAACTGAGTTTCCCTCAAAGTTTTCACATTGAACTTGCTGATAGAATGCGGTGAATCCTCGGCGGCAATTATTGGAGTCCGAGACAAAGTTTAAGTCTTGATACTGTTTTGAGTTTGTAGCGATTCTTACTAAAAGCGGCATCATTTTCAACGTATGGCTGACTTTTAGGTGGAAACTTACCTTGTTTCTTATTTAGGTATTGGCCACAGTAACGGTATTCGTTTATCTTTAAATAGTCCTTGAAGCATTCATAACTGCTTTCAACATCGAAGTCTTTGAAGAAAACTTGGACGGAGCAAAATCCAGGTAGCATCCTTAGTCTATTAAGAAAATTTCCCTTTTTGTCATACACATTAAATAGTTCCTGTGAACTGTTTCAGATCAATGAAAATATGACCGAAAACATAAAAATGAATGAATGAATGATAACTTTGGCTAAAAATGAGTTTTAGTCAGCCAAAAGTTTATAAAAGAAGAAAAAATGTTACAGAGTTTTTCAATGTTGAAATTGTTGGATTTGCCACAACATTCGGTCCTAGAATTCTTTATTTAAAATCGCAAAATATTGATCTACCATTTTCTACTTGCAAATGTGCGACTTCAATGAAACCGGTGAGATTTTTGGAATTTTACACCGTCGTGAAAAAAATGTTCTTCATAAAGAATCATCTTCAGAGGTGGTTTACTCGGCACAGCAACCGCCTCTGAAGATGCAGCAAGAAGTAATTTTCCATTTCCAAACATTTGGCTACCCAACCTGAATATTCAAGGGAGAATGATCTACTCATGAACGTTTTAATGAGCAAAAACTTTCAGACAATTTCAAGTAACTTCCATGCTTTTACCCAAAAAACTCCTTCTTCGGCTTCTTTGACTAACACCTGAAAAATGCATATACCTGTAGCAGAAATTTCCATTTTTCGGATATGCTGCAGGATATCCTGGCGAAGTAATGCTTCCAGTTAAAGAGCTCAACACCAAGCATTTATGGCTATCAATCTGATCATTAGTGGTTTGTTGCCCGGATTGGCACATTTGCGCCAACCGTGCCAACTGAAGTGCTGCCAGCTGGTTGTAGTTCCAGCTAAGACATTGTTGGTAACTGTCCGAGTTCGTCAGAACCCGAGTAACTTCAGCCAAATCTACCGACTCAGTTTCCTCCCTTTCCTGACTGCTTTTGGTCCATGTGGTGTCTTCATCGTCTGCAGGTCCGAAGAAGTAGAAGTGCTTGGCGACGCTGCCTGCCTGCCTATCAATTTTATTGCCTGCGGCCGGCAGGTAGTAACTTCTCTGCTTCAATAGAGGCAGTTGGTAGATGTTGCTGTTCTGAGGCCAACTCACTCTGTTCGCTTGCTCTTCGTAGAACCTTGAAGAACATATTGAGAGCAAAAGAAACCAATAACAGACGAATGCTAATTACGTGAACTTCTCGCTCTCGTTGGGCTGTGAGCTCTTCTGGCACTCATCCTGAATCACCTCGAGAACAAATCCCGATTTATCCCGACTACTGAATCCTCCAGTGTGAAACTTGATGAGTTTACTCTCCAAGCCTCCAAAGCTTGTGGTGAGTTGAGCAGGCGAATTGCAGCCGCATAGGAACTTTCCATCAATTTCCAAATGCCCATATGGGCAGGAGTTATGTCCAGGTGGGCCCAACGCGAAAAATTGCACGTTTATCCTCAGCCGACAAACGGAAGAACTGGACTTTCTGATGATATACTCGCAAGTCTTCGGGGTGTTAATGGAGTATGGGAAATTGGGGCTGACCAAGAGGAACGTTCTCGAGGAGAAAATGTTGTTGAGGCAACAGGGCTTTGAAAGTGGTGGCAAATATGTTGGTTTGGGTTTAATAGGGGTTTGGTTGCTGGTCCATTCGAACTGGACTGGTTGGGTTGTATCGTCCAGTTTACTTCCAACTGCAAAAGATGTTAACACCATAAGAACTCAGTGTTAATATATTAGATATTCAGCGATTGTGCTGATGGTTTAAGGATGTGCAAGGCAAGGGCAAGTTGAAAGATGTTTACACGCATTTGTAGTTGAGTTATCAATTTAAATTAAATTTCGTAGTGGTTCAATAAGAGAAAAAAATTCTTAAAATCCCTCGTTTTGAGCAAATTTGTTCTCCAGGATCTTGTACTTAATTGCGAGCCAATTTTCAAGCTGTGATGCCTGGAATGTCTCTTTTTTTACCATAAAGTCTTGGAGCCTTTAAAGCTTGCAGCTAAAAGTTGGTCCAAATTCTAAATTGTAAAGACTATTGAAGATATTTTTTAGAAACGATGAACTTATGAGTTTTTCGGGAATTGAGACTGTTGTTGAAAAAAAACTCGGTTGTCTGCAAATTGCAAAAGAACTTGCGGGTGTGTACGAAATGGTAAAGAAGACTTTCTGCAATTGTTGAAATACTCAAATTTCAGCTCGAAAATTATGCACTCATTCATAGTAAGTAATTTTACTTTTATTTAGCAAATTACGGAGAAACGCCTTTACTTTTTGTCGGTAAACGACGTTGATATGACGAATTACAGAAAAGCTAAATTTTTCATCTTCTAGCTACTGCACCGCAAAAAGTTCGTGAAAATAAATATGATTTGGCCATTGAAAATTTATCACCCTGTATGATTCATGATCCTGACGATGTAAATCCTTTAGCGTAACTTATATTTTCACTTTGAGATTAATATCTCAAAAACTGCAACAAAGAGTTTAAAAAGTCGTGAAATTTAAACACTCTCGTTCCTCTCTACAAACTCTTTTTTTCAAATAAAGCTGAATGTTAAAATTTCTGGTTTTTTCCTTGGTAACTTTTGGCACTTTTAAGGTATTTAGCTCAAACTTGAAACAAAATCACAATATAAAGCGAATTTATTTTTTTCTTTAGAAAATTTTTGTATTTATGCGCTTCTTGCGACTTGGATCGTTATTGAAGAAAAGTACGCGTTTTTATAATAAATAAAGCTACGGAAGTAAAAGGTGTAAATAATGTAATCAAGTAAACTCTACAAAAATAGCGGACATTTTAAAGACAAATATCTAAAAGTTCCGAAATTTCAAACAGTTCAAACTGGGAAGCAAATACTGTGCCAGCTTATGCTTACATGCATTTTTAGTAGAAAAATAAGCTGAAACTTAACCGCTTTTGTTTGTACAAGATTTTTAAAAACACCCAGTGTTAAATAGGATTTTCTGCCGAAACTAAAGTCAATTTTGTAGAATTTTATGTAAAGAAAGCTAATAATTCGACAGAATTTTATTATCTTTACAATCCCCTATTCCCTTCCTGTTCCGCAAAAAAACATTCTGCGGTTTTTGAACACATAAAAATAATGAATATGGCAAAGAAAATGCAAGAAAATCATCTTCGATAAATTGCTCATACAAAAGAACACCCTTCAATACGCACCTGTTTCACTTGAATCATGGTCCTGCTGACACTCGCGTCGACTAACTAACAGTCGAAAGCCTCTTTTTCCTGTTTCCGGCTCATCATCAGCTACAAACTTGAGCTTCAAATCTCCATTTTCACTGTGGTAAACTTTCGATCCATTTCTGCTTCCACAAATTGCATCCTGGCTTCCAATTTCCAGCCTATCTTTCACGCAACCGATGGAAACTGTTAAGTCAAAGTCCAGAAACTGGATGTTGAACTGAGCGGGGCAGTTGCGCCCTTTTAACAAGTAGAAACACTCTTTTCCTGCTGGATAAGGTTGAGGAAAATTGTCGCTGAAAATCAGGAATTTTTCATCCGAAAACACATGGCCGCAGTGGCTGTCCTCCAATTCTTTACTTGCTAGCGATTCCGCTTTCACATTGTTTTTGATGAGGATTGTTGAATAAAACACCAGAAAGCAGGGGAAGAACTTCATATTTCACACACACACAGACCAACAATACTGAATTTTCGCTGATTAAGTGACCGTTGAGATCTAACAAAGCTTCGGCAAATATTCACATCCTGAGGAAGCTAATATTTGATCTTGGGTTGGGATGCAACACCTTGTAGAAGTAAAGACCGTGACCACGGGCGTTACATCTAAATGATGATGAATTGTTTGACCGGCACTGAAAATTCGTTTGTTTGAGACTGATTCTTTGGGCAAATAATTTAAATAAATGTTTCGGTGGAAACAAAGACAAGGCAAGGCGTCACGTAGCAAATTACCTGCATTGTGTAATAGAGATCATTGAATGTTATGTTCCTTTGTCCGTGCCGCGTTTCTCCATTAACGAATAAATTGTTCAAAAGTTGTATGAATGATGCCCTTTAACGTGGACTAATGTGCAATCCCCAGATATTAATCTGGGGATTTTAAATTGAAAAAATAACATTTTCTGCTTAAGTGTAGATTAGAAAAACATTTAATCAAGTTCAACATACAAGATGGTAGATTTAGGTGGCTAAATATCGTCTGCATCTTCGCTCACTTTTAGTAGAAAAAAGCATACAACTGATTCCTTGAGTGCTTCTGGAGTTCTTCTAAGTAGCACTCACCAGAGTATCAGATATATTATCTTCTGGAACTCTACTAGAATCATCTATGGTCTTCAATACGCCGATGATATCATCCGCTAGAGCATACATTTCTTCTACAGTCTGAAATAGCCGAAAATGTTGATGATGGAAATCCGAAGAACACCAAACCATCCACTTTTACCTCACAAGCCATCAATCGCTTCACCAAGGAACTTTCGTATTTAATGTTATCGTACTGTTCGCTGCCCATTAAGTAGCCATTTTCGATGTCTTCGTCTTGAGATGCGCCCAAATGAAGCTCAACAGGGTGGCACAATTTCTCGCCCTGCTGCCTGAAAACGTGTCCAGATTCAATGGAAAGTCCGGATGGGGGATCTGGAGTGTCGTCCCAGTAGAGGTAAGTCGGAATTTTCACTCTGTAGATTTTGATCTGAAACAAAGCGCGTTGGAAGGTACGTTGGGAAGAGAGTGAAGAACTTCTATGTTGTTTCCTCATGGTTGCATTTGGTGCTATTAATTCGAGTACAGTTAAGACATGGAGGACTTAGTTGCGTTCACTTACCTTTGCTCTTCTTTCCGCAATTTTTTGATTGCAGTAGTTCTCAATAAGCATAATGGGATGTTGCGCCATTTCAGGTGGTGCTTGATCCAATGGAATTTTGCCTGCCAGAACCAGATTTTTCACTCTTTCCATCTCTTCTTCCTATGTAAGATTTGTTATACATTTCAAAGAAATCGCCGTTTATTTATCGCGTGTTTTAACAACATCAACTGGCGTTGATCAGGAACTCCAAAATCTTGGTTTAATGCAGGTTTTACTTACTTGTCGCACTTTGATTCTTTTCTGCATTTGTTCTTCATAATCTTCAAGAATCCGCTCCTGCAACTTTTGCATATAATTCCTGTCTGTGAGACTGACATAGTTGATTCCCATCAGCTTTTCGATTCTGGTTCGCACTTGTGGAATGTTGAAACTGAAACGAAATTACTGCAAAAATCAAGCTAAGGGAAACTTCCAAAAACTAAGCTCAGATAAAACCAATGAAATTGTAACATTTTGCCCTAAATTTGTATAAAATTGTGAAAACACAAAAGCGCTAAACTGAAGAACAGACAAGAAAATTTAAATGCTAATTTTTCAGGAATAAAGCACTTGCACACTTACAAAACTGGTAACAAATCAGCACTAAAAATGAGCATCCAAACAGTAACTTTGCCTTGCGATTTGCTTTCGTGACTCTCGAATTATGTTGGCAAACGCGCCTACTATAAGGGCTGAAATGACAAAATAACACACCGTTTACGGAAATCATTCAAGAAACCCCCAGGCTTTGTGCGAAAAAGCTCGCTTACAGTGTCGCAGAAAAAAAAATTATATAAGTTTTATATAAATTCTAATACGTTTTAAAATGTTATTGGCAGCACAATTGTATAATTGTTTTTACCTCAGTTTGACATGTTTAATATTGGAATATATTTTAAAAATTAAAAACTACAAATTTTTCAATAAAAATCCCTAGTGCTTGTATGTTTTTATGTTATTTGGACGAGTTTCTAATTTGCCTTACAATATTATGAAACCATAAACATCTTTATTTGTTCAAAAATTCAGAAAAGCTGCTCTTGTTTCTTTTCCAGCTATAAGCTAATTTTTTAAACAAATAGATCCTTAAAAGTGCAGGGCAGGAAGACACTCTTGCTTTTTTCAAAAGAAATAGAGATTATTATTCATTACTACGACATCCTTAGAGGATTTACCTGTTTCCACTCAAACTATACAAATTTTACAAAATTCAACCAATAATTTTTCAAACCATTGCCACCTTGATGGTTGCCTTCACTGATCTCTTTGCTCCCATCTCCAAATTGTTGCTATGCAAATAAAAAACTCATTTTCATAATTGCTAATTGTTCATGAAACGAGGCCTCAGATGGAAATCCCCAAATTCTCGGTACATTAATTACATATTTGGTCTTCAATCATCAACTTTTTGCCCAGTCATTGCCTCAGCCTGAAGCTTGGCTTGATGGCTGGAATGATGATAGTTTTTTGATCGATGCCCTTTTTGTTATATTCATAAATTTGATAAGGGAGCCGAGGCGAAGTCGCGGAAGGCACGAAGAGTTACAGTCACTTTGTTGGCGCTCCGATTTAAATTCAGGCCACTTTACAGGCTTAATCCAGTGTCGCCCAATTTAGTGAAGGCATTTTATGCGATTTTGTCACATAATATGGCCATAAAAATGCAAATTTGTGCAGACGGCCGTGAAGGTTTTTCAACCCTTAAAATAACGATCGCAAGTGATGGCAGAAAAAAACAAACAACGGAACTTATCCAAGTAAACTTGGATTTGACATATTTTCAAGTTCACTCATCTCAGTTAGGATTAGGCTCACACCAAGGCCTATTAACTACTGCTTATTTTGAAGTCGTTAATTCGAGTAATTTGGAAGTTATCATTTTTTCTATGGCTCAAGTGCAAGTTAGGACTGAATTCTTGAAAATCAGGCGCCAGCTTAAGGCTTTTGGAAAAATGGCTCAATCCTCCGAGTCTAATGAAATATTCTCCGGTTTTAGCTCAACCCTGTCTGTTATCTATGGTTAAATTTCAAGTTTCTAGTTCCGCTATTTTGGAAGATATAAGTTTTTCTTCAGTTCAAGTGCAACTTCGATTGCGGATTCTTGAAAATCAAGGGCCAGGTTAAGATTTTCTGAAAAATCGCCCAATACTACGATTCTAATAAAATATCCTCCGGTTATAGCTCAATCCTGTCTGTTATCTATGGCCAAATTTCAAGTTTCTAGTTTAGCTATTTTGGAAGAAATAAACTTTTTTTAGTTCCAGTGCAATTTGCTCGGATTATTGAAATTCATGCCCAACTTTACGAATTTTTTAAAAATCGCCCAATACTCCGATTCCAATAAAATAGTCCGGGTTATTAGCCCAAACCTTTCTATTAAATCTGGCCAAACTTCAAGTCGTTACTTCAATTAATTCGGAAGTTATTATTTTTCCTACAGCGCAAGCTCAAGTTATGCGGATTCTTCAAATTCAAACGCAAGTTTAAAACATTATGCACAATCAGCCAATATTTCTATTCCAATGAAATTTTCTCAGTTTTCAGCTTAAACCTTTCGATTGACCACTTTCACATTCCAAGTCGCTACTTTCATTAATATGGAAGTTATAATTTTTTCGTCAACTGAAGTGCAAGTTAAGGGTATTCTCAAAATTCAGGCACCAGTTTAAAAATTTCTGGAAAATCAGCCAATTATCCGTTTCTAAAATAATTTTCTCAGTTTTCAGCTCAAACCTTTCTATTGACTTCGGCCAAATTTCAAGTTGCTGCTTCTGCTAAATTGGAAGTTATCATTTTTTCTTTAGATCACGTTCAAGTTAGGCCCATTCTTAGAATTCAGGACGACAAAAAAGCTGGCGTCATGATTTGGTGGATTTTGCAAAAAAAACGCGCAAAATTTAAGTTTTTCTTGAAATTTCAACTTATTTGGAAAAACTGCCAACAATTCTCCAACAAAAGTGCTACTTAGTGCTGTAATCAGTTGGTAAGGAATGAGCACAAAATTAGCGAAAAACCCCGAAATTTTGACCTACTCTTACACCTAAAGGTGTACTATTCAAATTGCACCTTTGAGACCAAAACACTAAACTATTCTTTCTCCTAATGCTTACAACATTTTGAACTGTTTCCATTTTCGACATGAAACAATTTTTTAAATTTTAAAATAATTTTTGTTTTTCCAGTTTTTTGTTGATGGTGTTTTTTAGATAAAAAATTAGAGAAGAATCACATGAGAAGGAAAAAAGTGCTTTATAAAGTTAATCAATTTAGTGATTTATGTGAGAAAGAACAGCAACCAAGAGTACCTAGATATGATTGAAAAATTTACGTTTGCTTAATGTGCCCACAAAACATCGCATTTTTCAAATTTCTTTACGTCCACTTTCTTTCACCATTTTTAAGTTAATTAAACAAATTTTGTTGAGACAGAAAATCGTACTTGAAGTATGATCACACACATTGATTCTTAATAAGCCCTAATCTTTCGTCTCTTCGTTTGAATCACATACTACCAACATGGAAATATTATTCCTTTGAGTCCTTTTGCAAAAACAGTCAGACTTTCATCACCAACCACCATCACTTTAATTTATCTACCTGCATGATGATTGAGGAAAATCCACCGTCCGAAGAAAGTTTAAAACCTGAGCCAAATTGTCGACTTTCAAAAAATCGTCTTCAACGCACACATCCAAACATTGATCGCCGGATTTCAGAAATATCAGGCTCGAATGTCTTTGGAACTTGATTACTTTGTTCACCCATTGATCAACATCTTCCTTGAATTCCGGACGCTGTGCGGTTTGCGTTTGATCGGTTAGAGTTACTAAGAGAGTGGAGATTGGTAATTTGCCTTTGAGTGGCATGGCGCAAATGAGGCAATTCATATTTGAGGAGAAACTCGTTAACATTTCAAATTTGTTGACGTGCATGCAAGATTTAAATTGAGGAGCAATTAGAAAGCTTCAGGGATTGTTAAAGAGCAATTAGAAACTCAAGCTCCTCAAACAGGAAATGATTCGGAAATCTGCCAAATACTATAAAGGACTAATCATTAATTAGTGCCCTCTTTTGATACGACTCTCGCTACCCGTTGAAGAAAGCTTGCGGTTTCCAACTTCATTTTGCCTGATTATCTTCAAGCTTATATCCACACAAAACATGAAAATTTTATCCAAAAACTATGTACCTCTTCCAACAAAACTCACTAACAAACAACCTAGTTTAACTGTGATTGTGAGCGTTAAAATTCGAACTTACTCGCATGGAAACCTTGGTACTTGAACCGTGTCTAAAAACGCGATTACTTCTTCGACATTATCGTTAAAGTCGTCTTCGGAAGTCTCAGAGAGCTGCCGTTTGGGACACTCTGAAGGCGGTTCATCTTCCTTAACCGACTTGCGGAAACCTTTGAAAACTGTGTTGGCCCAATCTTCGATTCCCTCCTTGGTTAGAGCTTCAGACTGAGGCCGATTGCGTCGATCCAATAGGGCGTTTAGAACCGTTAAAATACTCAGCTTGCTCATGATTATTCAGCGACTAACTAACTAGCACCTCTTGATGTTTGACTAATAGAGTCTATTTATCGTCTGAAGTATCAAATTTCTAACTTTTGCCTTGCTAAACAACCTAAAGGCACTGGCAATACATTGAACTCTTCGGCTGAAAGGTGCTGGCACGAAAATTGCATGAAACTTTTATAACGCTGAAACTTTCCAAGATCATTTATTTTCCGTTGTTTTGCTTGCAGCTTTTTCGTATGAATATTCGCAAAGCGTTGAGTGGCTTTCATATGGTTCCTATTGTAAACCTACCAGCCCATCAATTTCGTATTAAAATCCGACACAATAGAACGCTCTATTACTTATTTCTAATAATGGTTATGCATCAGGTTTTTTCGAGCAAATATTAATGGTTTGGCCAAATAGATTGAGGATTTAGTAAGCAAACTTTAATTATGCATGAACGGGTTTAAATAAGAGCAAGAAAACATTGCGTTGGCTTATGAAGATGTAGACAGAAATGGTATTATATGGCACTGCTCTTCTTAAGATGAGGTGAAGCACAAAACAGTTCAGGGGTGGTGAAAATTGAATTTATTCTTGCCCTGTTTGCCAGGTCAATGAATTCGCTTCTTCCCTGGATCTTAATAGCATACAATGGGATTCTTTTGAGTCGTACCTACACAATTCTTATTCACTTAAAACTTCGTGCTGCAATTCTTTGTTGAAGCCACGTTTGTTTTTTCACACGTTCTTCAATCAGGGCTTTATTTGAGAAGAAGGTTCTTCTTCGACCTTTGCGTAAGTTCAAATCTAGCGTTCATTTTGCGATAATCCTTTCTTATGTGGTTGAAACTTTAACCGGCTTTTCTTCAGCTAAAACGTCTGCTTCCTCTATTTGACCACCAAAACAGTGGGACGATCATGAATGACGAGATGAACGAATTTAACATACTGAAGACACAATGAAGGATTTTCAAGGCTCGGGAAGTCAGTTAAAAAACGACTGTGATTGAAACTTGAAACGATTCAAAAACTTATGACCTACTTTGTGTTTTAATAGGTTTTACCTATTAAAGTTTAATAAGAAGTGGAGGAAATTGTTTGATAACAATTTTCTACTTACGCATATTGGATGCTTTCCTTTTCCCACCATCGGACGATTCTTTTCCCCAGCTGATCCAAACCCTGTTGGCGAGCCTTGGGCCTTTCCGAAGGCTTTGGAGGTTCCGGCTCTGCAAATTGCACCATTTTTTTGTGTTTATGCACACAATTAATTTGAAAAAAACTGGAAAATTAGCTCATTTCCCCAAATGCTCCTCACTGACAAAAAGTTGACATTGTCTACAGTTTCCCTGCTAGGTTTGTACAGGAACTAAAAAAAATAAATTCTGAACCCTAGTGAAATAATACATAATACATATATAGGCCAGGCCTATCAAATGATAAATATTTATAAGCGCGATTTGATTTTCAATCCCAGCTTATTTATGATACAATTTCCGAAGAACAAAAACCTGGTACACATCTCGAGTTTAGTTACCGATCAATTCAGCTGGTCATCAGGTTTTTGACTCCATCTGCAAAAGGTGCTACCTCTCATTTTATTAAAGTCTGGCTGGCCACTGTTCTAGTGAATTTATCCGCCGTACGTAAGTAGTTGCATTTATTAAAAAATTTTGTAATTTAGTTAATTTCGTCGCACTTTCAAAATTCGAGCAAACCCAAAATGGGCCTATCGGTTGAACTTTCTATTACTTAATCAGTTTAATACTTATTATTACGAACAGAAATTAGGGAATTGCTTGGTGATGTGCATGATAAATGAAACTGAGCATTATGAATTGAAAATGCTGAATGCGGCAAAAAAGCACTGTAAAAGCACTGTGTAGGAATATTTTCCGGTTTGACCATACAAATGGATTTAAAGTAACGTGGGGTAAGTGTGGAACTTTTTGTTAACGCAAATTTGTCAGTTTTATAAGCAATTTTATCTTGTACATGCGGAAGCACTTGCTACTCGCATTTTCCGGTACATCAATTTTAAGACTCTTCTCAGAAATTTTGGCGATTTATTTCAAATCCCATTCGCTGTCTAGACATTCATTTAGGGGACTTCTAGGTAGCTTTGCGACTTTTGTTTATCGGCGACTTGGTCAGGGTCAGCCGTCGAATGAGATTTTATTTAACTTTTTTTTTCAAGGTTCACAAAAGTTTTTCACGATAAATTTCTCGTCTGATTTAATTGTATGGATTTATTTGATCGGAGATCGATGCCAAAGCCACTTAATCTATGTATGGAAGTGTTGGCCAGACGAGAACATTGATTTATGAATTAATTTCCCTCAACTTGGCATCGAATTTGCATTATATAATCTGCTGATGAGACTGAATATTGTCGACACGTTTTCCGGCTTGTTCACATGTCTGACGATGAAAGGTCAATAATAATCAATTAAAACTTTATCTTGAGAAATGGTAATATTGATAAATATGTGGGAAAATTGAAATTTTTGAGAACTGCAGAGTGGAAGAAGTGACGTACCTATCCTATTATGTACAGGGCGGCCTAATTTTAATCTATCTTCTATTCTAAATTTAATTTAATCTATTATTATTTTAATTTGGAAGCAATATTTTGCAATTTGTTAAGCATGAGAAGTAAGAAGATAACACTCAGCATACATATTAAGTTTCACAAACTTCTCAGGGAACTTTGAAGGATCTTTAGGAACGTTTTCTGAAAACAGATAGTCTTTTAAAATATTGTCTTGTTTAAAAGTCTATAGTTTTCGAGTTATTTAAAATTTTGAATTTACGTGCAACATTCAGTCAACTGATTTTTTTAATGAGACTTCTTTTTCAATCAGAATTTAGTGTTAAAGTAGGACATTTTCGATTTGTATTAGAATGTGGACCATTTTCTCAAAATTTCACAAAGTAAGATAATCAAGCTCAATAAAAAGTGGGTCGATTTGGTCAGGGTAGTGTAAATTCGACATCACTCGAAAACTATTGACTTTTTCGCAAAGTCCCAAAATGCACTTTTTGACGTCAAAACCATGTAGTTTAAGGAAAAGTTTTCGATAATGCCCCAAAGTTTACTCAGAAAAAGCTACAACCTACCAAAATTTTTGAACGTCCCCTGTATCTCATATCCCTTCGTTTTTAGGTTTATTACCCCTTCGAGACTTAACATCTTTAGCAAGTTTCATACTGCTATCTGTTCATGTTTAGAAATTAAATAATAATAAACCGCTACCGTCGCTAGTTGTGACTTTTGGACCACAGTGTATATACCTATTGTAAATTTATCTATTTAAGTAAACACCATTAAAATCCATAAATCGACACAAAAATTAGGATTTTTATTGACTTATTGAACTAATAGTTATTCAGATAAGATAAATTATTTCATAATTGTATGCTAATGCTTCACTCCGCTTATGCTCGTATCTGTTGCTTTAAATTAATTAATTAAGGCGTTATTTTCTGTTTGATCATTTTTTAAAACTTTACCTTTATTTCGATGTTGATCTACACTGTTATTGTATTTTATTGCTTTAGTTCATTGCGTTAATTGTTGCGTGTTTGACAAATATAGTCAACGACTTCCGTCTTCAGTCGACCTAAATTGGAAATCTTGAGCGTGTAAAAGCGATGTTCCCAAATGGATCAACTTTTAACACTTTTTTCCATCTTCAGTTTCTAAGTTTGGGTTTATTGTGTTTTAGTTTTAATGTCACTGTTAATGGTGATTTTTCACTGTTGTTTCATATGGTGTTACTTCATTGGTTTGCATTCTTCCTTGCCTTCTTTGTTATAGACTTCTAATGTATTCTTTAGATTTTTCTCATTCCTAACATTGTTTTTCCTTGGTGTTTTTATATCCGGAAAATCCTGTGCTCTCTGCATATCCAACGTGCATTATTGATGTGCAAGATATGTAATCTCATTCAAAATTTTCGAACAAAATGAAAAAATTGGTAAATTGCAAACTTTGATTTATTAGAGCATTGTGTTATCAATAGTTTAAAAATCAGTCAATACTCGCAGAACCGATTGGTTGATATGAATATTGCGTGATCATTATAGCAGAAGATAAGTATACTTTGGAACATTTTTATACTCCAGAACATTTTTTTTAAATTTCATTAGCGTAGCGTTTTTCCTATTTGTTCTAATAGTTTTAGTTATTTCCGTAAGTAGTTATTATATTAGTTGTGACATGATTACATATATTTTTTCTTTCGATTCTTCGATTATTTAGTTTAATTCAGTTTTCATATGTGAATTTATTCTGCATCTTCGACTTCAATTTCTTTAACTTTGACAAATCTAAAATGTTTACATATATTTTCGTAGTCAGTTCTTTGATTCTCCGTTTACTTTCATACCTACATTTCTTCTGCATTTTCAACTTTTTACACTACTCTGCTAAATTTCTATTTTCGTCTGCAGCTCAAAAAGTTCTTAATTTAGCTGCATTCTCAACTTTACTGAATTTTACATTTGTTTTCCTTCTGCAGTTCAACAAGTTTCTATTGTTTTGTAGTTTTAAACGCGTTCAATATAAGCTGCGCTTTCAACTAGACTTTCATATGTTTATTTCATCTGAAGCTCAAAAAGCGTTTAATTTAAGTTGCATTTTCAACTAGACTTTGATATTTGTATTTCTTCTGCAGCTCAAAAACCGTTTAATTTAAGCTGTATTTGTCATTTTTTCTGATGGTCAAAAAGCATTTTAGCTGTATGTGTTTTTCAGGTTGACTAATAATTTCGTATTTCTTCTGCATCCCAAGAGACGGCCAAATTAGCCACCACCACTTTTGCGATTCATATTTTTTCTACAGCACAAAAAACTATTTTTATATTTGTTAAAACRRAAAAACGCGGTTAATTTTAGGTATATTTTTAACTAGACTTTTATTTTACAACATTTTCTGCAGCCCAAATGACGCTCAATTTAAGCTGTAGTTTTRCAGCACTTTTATATTGATAWTTRTTCTGCAGCTCACGAACCATTCATTTTAGCAACATTTCCAATTGGAATTATTATCTATTTTTTACTAAATTTTGAAATTTCTATTGGTTTGTAGTTTAGAAAGCAGTTAATTTAAGCGGAATTTCAACTAGGTTTTCATATTTGCATGTTTTCTGCCGCAAAAACGCTTAATTTTGCCTGCATTTTCAACAACCAGAATTTCATTTTGAATTTCTTCTGCAGCTCAAAAAGTATTTAAAGTATTTTGTAGCCGTATTTTGAGTGACTAAGCTGTACTTTCATTTTCACTTTTGCATTAATATTTCTTAACCAGACTTTTTAGTATTTCTTCTGCTGCCCAATAACGCACAACAAAAACTGTATTGTCATCTTCCGTTTTATATTAATATTTTTTGCAGTTCACAAACCACTTAACTTGGGCAGCATTTTCATTGAGAAGTTTATATGTGTTTCTTGTGCAGCTCAAAAAGCGAATAGTTTTAGCCGCAGTTTCAAGAACATTTTTAGTTTCAGATGTATTTGAACAGCCTGGTCCCAAACGGGACCACTCTAGTCATTCTATCCCTTCTGATCCTGCTATGTTACATCTATATCAATATTATCCACTCCTACTGGAAACGTCGTGGAATACCATATGAGAAACCCTACCTGCTAACGGGCAGCTTATGGAACGTATTCAGTGGAAAAAGACAAATAGGAAAACATTTCGGAGATTTATACAGAAAGTTCGATGGTCCCTACTTTGGAATCTATATTTGCGGCAAACCGTATCTGGTGATTCGTAGTCCGGATATCGTCAAAGACATTACGGTTCGAGATTTCAGCAACTTTGAGGATCGGACGTTTGCTTGCGACAAAAATGCTGACGATATGACCGGAAATAGTCTCTTCATCCTTCGAAATCCCGAATGGAGAAACGTGAGAATGAAACTGACCAATATTTTCACTTCCGGAAAAATTAAGCAGATGTTTCCCTTGATGCTACAGACGGCAGATGATTTGCAACACTATGTAGAAAAACATGATAATGAAATCGTTGATGTCAAAGACCTAGCAGGGAAATACATGACTGATTTAGTCGCAAAATGCTTTTTTGGGATCGACAGTTGTTCGTTTGTGGAAAAACCAGTGACGCACTTCAGGAAAGTCTGTATTGATATACTGGATGTAAATATCTTCCGGTCGTTTTGCATGTTTTGCTACTTGTTCTTGCCCAAGCTCGTTTCACTCCTAAAACTCAAATTGCTTGATACACATTACCTGAGAAAAGTATTCATGGAAACGCTATTGTTCAGAGAGAAAACTGGATTTCACCGCAACGACTTTGTGGATCTTCTCATCAATATTCGGAACACTTTTGCAAACACTGAAGAATCAACCTTTGGTAAGAGGGTACATATTTAAAAAAATCGAAAAGCAAATTTGTTTAAACTTTCAGATACAACCTCCATGGTCTCACAAGCGATCACATTTTTTATTGCCGGATTCGAAACGACCAGCAATCTGGTTGGATTTACGCTCTACGAACTAAGCATGCATCCAGAGTGTCAGGACATGTTAAGAAGGGAGATTTTCGAAGTATTTCCCGATGAAACCACCCCTTTGACTTTTGATAACGTTCATCAACTGAAGTATTTGAACATGGTTATTGCAGGTAAAATCTAAAGATAAAAATGTGTGCTTAACTTTAGAAATGCTGGGGAATCGGTAGAACTGGTTGAAATAAAATTTCTTTCCTAATTCACTTTACTTTGCTGATAGAACGGTTTAAGCAGAGACTTCCCTCGTAATTTCCTTTTAATTCGTGAATTTTGCCACTTTTGCTCAAAAGATTTAGAACAAGTTTTCTAGATTTTTTCAGATTTGAACAGCCAATACTTTTTCTGCCTGCCTTAGATACTCGATCTTGCTCACAGACGGATTTAAACTTTCATAAAATGTTCACTAAGAACTAAGTTTCCATAAAAAAATATTCAAATCGCATTACCGATTGAGAAAATATTCACAGTGAAAAGTTAGAAAATATTGAACTTGATGAACTGATAGTTAAGAAATCCTTATTTTTTTAGAGACACTGAGGCGGTACCCATTTGGTCCCTTCTTAAACCGAAACTGCAAAAAAGACTATGTGATCTCGCAAACCGGGTTCAAAATCGAAAAAGGAACCCCAGTCTTAGTGTCGCTGGATGGGATCCATTACGATCCCACTTACTACAAAAATCCAGAGAAATTTGATCCCGAACGGTTTCGGGCTGGTTACAAGCACTTGTTGAGTGCGTGCACGTATTTGCCATTTGGCATGGGGCCTAGATCTTGCATAGGTAAGAAATCGGATGTAAAAATGTGAACTTTAACAATCAAAATCATTTTTAGGAGATCGATTTGCCCAAGTATGCGCAAGAGTTGGTATTATTTGTATTCTAAAAAGATTCACAGTGGAAAAATGCCACCTCACACCAGATCCGCTGGTGTTGAATCCGAGATCGCCTTTCATGCAACCGGTGAACGGATTGCAACTTAAAATACGAAAATTGTGATACTAACGAAATTGTTCAATACACAAATTATAGCAGTATTTATATTATAAGATAGTAGCTTTGAACCCTTCAATATATTTGATTTTCTTGCTCCAAATCGTTTTATCAGAAATTCCAAAACCTCTAAATAGACCGAAGCAAAGGATTAAAATGTAATCTTTTAAAAGAAAATTTTTCAAACTTGAAAAATCTGCGAACGAAACTTTTCGACTATGAAGTGTAACACTGTTTCAAAAAAATTGTGATTCAAAACAGAACGCACAACGCTTTCTTCTATTTTTGCGGCTATTTAAAACATTTTTTACTTTTTCCTGGAATGTTTGGCAATTTTTTTAACGCGCGAGTCTGCGGCGTTAATTAACAGTCGCGGGTTTTCCAAAAATTCGCCATAGAAAATAGTACACAGATAGAGACTCGATATTAACGGCACGTAATAGAGAAACTACTCTACAAACGTGGAAATTTGCAGATTTTTCGGAATTTTTGCCCATTTTTTGCGGCCTTTTCATACAAGTCGTACCACTTTTCGACTAAGATGTGTCAGGATATTTTCAAAAATTTAATCTTCAAAATGGAAAATATATTGAAAACAGAAATTAGGTCTACTGAATAGAAAAAACTTTGCACTATTTATGTGGTAATTTCCAACATTTTCACTTTACTCTGGAATTTTTGGCAATTTTATCAACGCACGAGTCTGCGCCTTTTATTAACCATCGCTAGTATTTAAAAAATTTCGCATAGAAAATTGTAAACAGATAAACACTAGGCATTAACGCCATTTAATAGAAAATGTGTTCCTCTGAAAGTGCGGCAATTTGCATATTTGTTGCATTTTTGATGTATTTTTGGGGGTGTTTTTCAAACAAGCCGCACCACTTTTCGACTATGATGTCGCGATAGACTGCGATTTCGGAAACAATTGAATAATCTGACAAACATTATTATTTTTTCCTCGAGTGTTTCAAGGTAATTCTTCAGCTAATAAGTTTTGATTCAAAGTTGCTAACCTTTACGTATAAGGACATTTGTAAAATTTTTAGACACCGTCAAAGTTCATCTTCAAAACGGCTTAAAATATTTGAATTTTTATTAGAACCATTTCGAAAGAGCATTTCAAGGTCTGTCCATTGCAGATAAAGTTTTATCAAATATTGTTACCATTTAAAAATGTAAAAAAAATATAAAAAATATTTCAATATAGTAAAAAGCCTAAAAATGTATAAAAAAATAGCTGAATAATTAATAGACATATTTTCATAGAACATATCCAGAATTGTCAAAAATTTAAATATACTTTTTTTTATATTTAAATTTATTCTCATCTCATCTCATCTCTCTCTCTCTCTCTCTCTCTCTCGCTATAATGGTTGGATGAGAAAAACTCGCATATAAAGCGCTAATGTTTTAACGAAACCGTATCGAAAATCAGCTCAAATTATGCCTGATTTTTGATCCAACTAAACTGTTTAAATCTTCTATCCTGATAGAGAATATTTAGAACATTAGTAATAAGTAAATAATTAAAAGCTAATAGTTAATAGTAGTTAAAAGCTTTTAATCTGTGGCTTGTGGTTTTATTTCTCGGTGGTCTTTCTTTGACAGTTCAACAATTGGGTTAGAAAAGTTTACAAACATTGGCGTTCTACGTTTAAGGCCCTTTTCATTTCCAAATAAAACCAGCTTAAATAAAAGGTATGTTCAATGACATTCGTTGATAATCGAAAAATACTTTCATTAAATGAATATCCTCAAGCCTACGCTTTTCTTCATCACAATGTTTAACTTGTAAGCAATTTTATGCTTCATTAACTGTTGTCTTTCACTGATTATACTGAATCTCAATATTTATTAGTCATATTCACTAAACTGGTTCTCCTTGATATTGTAAGTGTTTCGTGCACTTGTAACATCGACTGTGTTGATAAGTTATTATTAGAGTTGCTCTTCAAGGTTTCACCCAGTTGTAAGTTTATCGGTGCAAGTGCAACTGTTATCTTTCGCCTATAAAAGTGAATATTTTTTCAGTTTTCCACTCAGAATCGTTAAAGGTATGCACTGTAAAGAACAGTTTTATTGCATTAAGCAAGTGCCTGACTTTCAACCACTTTCAAAAACATCATGCGTATTTAATTTTTTACGCTTTTTAATTTGTAATTTACATTTCATTTCATATTTTTGTACAAATTGTGATTATGCCTGTATGTATATGTTTTCGTTTGTCTTTTTGCTTAATTGTAACTACAAGTTAGGTGATCTTATTCTGCTTATCTGCCGCTTCGTTTAGGCAAACTACTGCACCATCAAATTCATGTGAATAACCAAACGTGCCCTGAGATTACGAAATTATTGCATTTTGTCAACTATTTTCTAGATAACCTTTAAACTATGTACTTGGCTTGTATAATTAACTGCCCTGCTATCAGGGCTTTTGGAAAACATTGTAGACCGCTATCAAACATAGTAGGTATAGATGAAGATTTTACAGAACAAGAGTCTGCTTGTTATAAAGACGAGGCAAAGCTTAACGAATCATCAAATAATTAAAATGGGGCAAGCTCTCATTTATTTAACCAGATGCAAATTTTGCTCTGTAGATGACTGGACTAACTGAACTATCGAGAAACAAATCCTTTGGCGGGTGGCAAACAGTCTTTAGCCATGAATCCAAAGTACTCGGCTGTACGATGAAATGTGGCGTTTATTTGCCCCCGACAGAAAATGACACTGAGAATCTGCCCGTAATCTACTGGCTTTCTGGTCTCACATGTTCAGAGGCAAACTTTATTGAAAAAGCTGGCGCTCAAAGGTAAACTTCCAGGAAAACAAAACTAATCTGTCATCTAATTGCTGGCGCTCAATTCAGATACGCAGCTGAACATAAAGTAATCATCGTCAATCCAGACACTTCACCTAGAGGCTTGAACATTCCAGGCGACTCTGACTCCTGGGATTTTGGAGTTGCCGCAGGCTTCTACTTAAACGCCACGCAAGATCCGTGGAAAAACAACTACAAAATGTATGATTATATTATCAAGGAACTCTTGGACTTAGTGAACTCGAATTTCAACACTCAAGCTGGAAACCAGTCAATAATGGGCCACAGGTAGATAAAAGGCAAGAGAAAAATGCACTTTGAAAGCAACTGTTTTAGTATGGGCGGTCATGGAGCGTTGGTACTTTCCCTTAAAAATCCTGGGCTGTTTAAGTCAGTGTCGGCGTTTGCCCCGATTTGCAACCCTTCTATTTGCCCTTGGGGTATTAAGGCGTTTAGTGGATATCTGGGCCCGAAGGAAACTGGCCAATGGGAGGAGTGGGATGCCACCGAATTGGTCAAGAAATACAAAGGGCCTCCTTTGGAGCTGTTCATTGATCAGGCAAGCATTTTCTTATCTTGGACAAAGTCGAATTTATTAATGACAAAATTTCAGGGACTGAATGACAATTTTTATCCTGCCCAACTAAATCCCAAAAACCTAGTGGAGGCTTCCAAAGGCGCGGGGGTGCCGGTAATCTTTAAAGAAAGAGAATCTTACAATCACAGCTATTTCTACATAGCGTCATTTATTGGGGAGCATATCGGCTATCATGCCCAGCATTTGAAATAACTCTCATGCACTTGAATCCTTCTTACGCTTGCACTGTTTGATTTTAAAGTAAATATTTAATATCAATAATTATAAACAATATTCTTTACACACAATAAATATTGTTGCTTGTTCCAATTGGTGGTGCTCAATCATTTAATCGACCCTCTCAATTGATGCCAGTATTTCAACACTGGCTCCCTTTGCGGCCAGATGTTTTGGTTGCCCCACAAGGCCCAACCGCTATTGCAAAAACAATTAAGCCCTTAACAACCCAGCAGTTATTGTACTATTGTACTTACACTCCAGTTGCAGCTCCTCCTAAATGTGCAGCATGATCAAAGAATTTCCAGCCCATCAGCACTCCGGCTGTATCCAATCCCACAATAAATTTGATAGCCTGGAAAATGATATAAAAATTATTAGATTAATGAAACGAATTCATCAAGTGCCCCTTAATTCGGGGGTTTACTCACCGTCCCTGCAGAAAATGTGAAGAAAGGCAGCAGGATTATCCCTAGCTTAGTTTCTGGGTATTGTACGCAAACATACGCCAATATTGCCATAATGGAGCCCGACTGAAACAAATTGGGAAGGCATAATCTGGTTCCTAGTCGAGTCTTATTTGGCTCACCGCTCCTAAAGATAGCCCAGGTTGCTTCCTTAGTATTTTATATAGATAACTTGTAAAACTAGATATCACTCCAGCGCTCAGGTAGAGCCCAAGGAATTGCTCTTTGCCGAGACTTTGAACTGCGCCTAGAATAGTGAAACGTGTCAACCTGCAAATTTTCCTTCTATGATAAGTTGTGGCAGCTTACCGGTACTAAAGCTGTGAAGCACATACATGTTCGCTAATAAATGGAATCCTGAATAGTGACTGAAGGTGGACAAAATCATCGGTAAACACTGGTGTGGGCTGCCCGGATTTGAAGTAAAATAGTTCAACATAAAAGGCTGCAGTCTGGGTATTCGCATTGCTGCAAACACCAGCAGATTCAGTGCGCAAATTGGTGCAAACACTTTTTGTCCGGGAGTCAGAGAGTTCCACCATTTGTTCAGTTCTTTTGTAAGCTGATTCTGAAATAAAAACGGAGAGTTAAACGTTCGAAAATTTGCATCATCATGAATTTTTGATGGTACTGGCACCCAAACTCTTAAATCTTAAATTAAGGACAGACTTGGATTCGTTTAACTCACTGATCTATCAACTCCAAATTCCTCTTGCTTTCTAAAGAATCTGATGGGTTTTTTCAGCATTTTCGATGCATGAGCTCTGAGATGCTCATATTCCCATATGGCACAACCAACAAAAGTGGCGCCTGAAAACTGAAGAAAGTTCCTTATTAGAAATCACCTGATAATCGCAGTCTATACTCAGCTTTACTCTCTATAGTAGTGATCTATACTGACCCCAATTGTAAAAAGGAAGGGCTTCCATAGTTTCCCAACACTTAAGTCTCCAGACTCGACATGTAGATTGCTGAAGGGGGTTTCTAAACTATCAGAATTGATTTTGAGTTCTTGTTGCCGCTTAACATTGCTTCGAACCTTTCGAAAGCTTCTGGCTGCTTTCGCGAATTTAAATGGTGGATTATTGTGCAGTAAAGTAGACTTTGTGGAACTGGAATATTACCAATTTTTATTTGAATTTTTTTAAATAATAAATGACGAATTTGATAGAAATTTCGTGGCGAATTATTTACTGCTTTTCTTACCATAGCCATAACCCACCAAGACGATTCAGAGCCATAATATTTAGCTTCAATTTGGAATCATTTATACTCAAAAAAGTAAAATAATAAGTATTAAACTCGAACTTTATTTGTAACTTTCAAAATTAGTTACCACTGACAGGAAGTGAAATTGGTGAGGTTAGGTACACAAAATCTCCGCCCTTTCGGATGTTCTGTGGTTAGGTAGGCCTAGTCATCTCTGAGTAGGTGTGCCAATTGCTGGAGTGGTTATTTTGTTTTGAACAGTATTTTCATAATTTAATAATTAGCTCTTATTTATTTGCAATTATTTTCATTAGCTTCTATCAGCAGTAACGCAAATAGCGTAAATTATTACTCAAAATAATAGTAATATGTCAAATTCCAATGATTTCTTGAGTATTTGAATTGCTTCAATTGGCTACATCGTTTAAAGTGAGGCCAGCAATGACACTAGTGACACTGCAAGTGTTGACACAGTCTGTGGTTGACACTTAGATTATGGCGCCTTTGCTTTGATGCGGAAAAGTACGCCGCACGTTATTCTCTTTAGGGCTGAATGTACAGTGTTTGGGTGTAAAAAGTGATACGAAATGGCTAACATAACTCTCGACAAGGAGGTATTTCACCGGCGCCTTAAAAAGTTGTTTACCGCATGGAAGGAATCCGAGGGAGAAAATGGTTTCTCCAAAATGGATGCTTTAGTGGCTGCTGTGGGCAAAGATGAGGATATTATCTACAGCAAGTCTGGCGCTATGCATACTTGGCTACTGGGGTACGAGCTGACCGACACCATTATGGTGCTCACCGAAAACAAAGTCCACTTCCTGGCGAGCAAGAAGAAAATCGAATTTTTGAGACAAGCAGAGCCTAAAGATGAGTCTCAGATTCAAGTAAATCTGATTGTGAGAGATAAAGATAAGGACAATGAGAACTTTAAAACACTTATTGCCTCCATTAAGGCGAGCAAGAATGGAAAAGTGGTTGGTCATTTCCCAAAGGACAACTATCCAGGTCCATTTATGGATGCTTGGAGAGCAGCATTGAAGAAGGAGGAATTTGAGATGTACGATTCCAGTGCTCCGATTGCTTATTTAATGGCCCCAAAGGAAGACTCAGAAATAACAACTATTAAGAAGGCTTCTATGGTTACCGTGGATGTGTTCACAAAATATCTAAAGGATCAAATTATGGAAATTATTGATTCTGATAAGAAGGTGAAACATACCAAGCTGGCAGAAGGAGTGGAATCTGCGATACAAGATAAGAAATATGTATCCGGAGTGGATGTGAATCAAGTCGATATCTGTTACCCAGCTATTATACAATCTGGAGGCAATTACAGCCTGAAATTTAGCGCTGTAAGCGACAAGAACAATCTGCATTTTGGGTCAATTATTTGCTTATTTGGCGTCCGGTATAAGCTCTATTGCTCTAACCTGGTGCGAACCTTGCTGGTTAACCCTACAGATGAAATGCAAGCCAACTACAATTTTCTACTGCAACTTGAGGAGGAGCTACTTAAGAAGCTGCAAGTCGGCGTGAAACTCTCCCAAGTCTATGAGACTGGCATGCAGTACATCAAAAAAGAAAAGCCAGCCTTAGTAGATAAATTGACCAAAAACTTCGGCTTTGCAATGGGGATTGAATTTAAGGAGAGTTCATTGATGATTGGACCCAAAACTAGTGCGATACTTAAAAAAGGAATGGTATTTAATCTTAACATTGGCCTGGCCAATCTAACTAATAAAGATGCCCCCGATAAGGAGGGCAAAATTTACGCTCTTTACATCGGCGATACTGTAGTGGTGAATGAGGGGCAACCAGCCTCCATTCTAACAAACAGTAAAAAAAAGATGAAGAACATAGGAATTTTCCTCAAAGATGATTCAGAGGAAGAGGAGAATGATGAGGAAAAGGAAAACACCCCCAAACCAGAGTCATTAGGACTGCGAGCTAGAAGAACAGCAGTACTTGAATCTAAATTGCGAACCGAACATACTTCAGAGGAGAAGCGCAAAGAGCATCAGAAAGAGCTGGCTTTACAATTGAATGAAAAAGCCAAAGAACGACTGGCTAAGCAGAGTGGAGCCAAAGGAGTGGAGAAAGTTCGGAAGAACACTGTTTCCTACAAGAACGTCAATCAAATGCCGAGAGTTCCGGAAATTAGGGAAATGAAAATATTCGTGGATCAGAAGTATGAAACTGTTATATTGCCAGTTTATGGCGTTGCAGTTCCGTTTCACATATCCACCATCAAAAACATCTCTCAATCCGTCGAAGGCGACTACACGTACTTGAGAATCAACTTTTTCACTCCGGGTTCCACAATGGGGAAAGATGGTAAGGAGAACAGAGTATTAGAAAATTTATTAATGAAAGCGGAATCAGAGCTTCAAACGAATGCATATACATTTATGTTTGCAATTTTCATTGCTTCAAATTTGGGAAACGCATACGATGACTTCAGTATATTTTCACGTATTAAAACACAGTTGATAATAGCAGTTAAAACTTAATTTAATTAGCATCATGATTATTCAAATCATGTTGCAGATTCTCTTAAATGTGTCCTGCTTTTTTGTTAGAAAATGCAAATAATCCGTTTATAAATCTGCTTTAATTTTGATGCCAAAGAAAGAACCAGAGACTTTCTAATTCGAAAATATGTATTTTATATAAAATAAATACAAAGAATCGGTAAGACTGACAATTTGTTAATTTGCAGGTAATTTTCAACAGCCGGAGGCGACTTTTGTTAAAGAAGTGACTTATCGTAGTACAAACATTAAGGAACCCGGCGAAATTTCGCCACCATCGTCAAACCTAAACACGGCGTTCCGACTCATTAAAGAAGTACAAAGAAAGTTCAAGACGCGCGAAGCTGAAGAGAAGGAAAAGGAAGACCTGGTGAAACAGGACAGTCTAGTGTTGTCTTCAAACAAAGGCAACCCCAAGTTGAAAGATCTGTTTATTCGGCCCAATATTGTTTCCAAGCGAATGACGGGCAGTTTGGAGGCACACACCAACGGCTTCCGATACACCTCAGTACGAGGTGACAAAGTGGACATTTTGTATAATAACATAAAGAATGCGTTTTTCCAACCGTGCGACGGGGAAATGATCATTCTGTTGCATTTCCATTTGAAGCATGCCATTATGTTCGGGAAGAAGAAACACGTCGATGTTCAGTTCTACACTGAAGTTGGAGAAATTACAACGGATTTGGGCAAACATCAGCATATGCACGATCGAGACGATTTGGCGGCAGAACAAGCTGAGCGAGAGCTTAGGCATAAACTGAAGACCGCGTTTAAAAGCTTCTGTGAGAAGGTAATTGCCGGGAGCGCGAAATAAAGACCAGATAAAGTAGAATTTACTCTTTTATAGGTCGAGATGATGATCAAGCAGGAAATCGAATTCGACACGCCTTTCCGGGAACTGGGATTCCCTGGTGTTCCGTTCCGTTCAACAGTATTACTGCAGCCAACTTCGGGTTGTCTGGTACATCTCACCGAATGGCCGCCGTTTGTAATCACACTGGAAGACGTTGAGTTGGTGCACTTCGAGCGTATTCAATTCCATCTGAAGAACTTCGACATGGTATTTGTGTTTAAGGACTACCACCGGAAAACTGCTATGGTGACTGCCATACCAATGAACTTGCTAGATCATGTCAAGGAGTGGCTGAATTCGTGTGATATTCGGTAAAAACCTCTTGGGTTTTTAAAAATTGGTTGATGTAACTGGGCTTTTGGGGTTTCAGGTACTCGGAGGGAGTACAGTCGCTTAACTGGGCCAAAATTATGAAGACCATCACTGACGACCCAGACGGTTTCTTCGAGAGTGGCGGATGGACTTTCTTGGATCCGGAATCTGATGAAGAAGTGGCGGTAATTTTCTTATTAAAAATCCATGTTTCTTTTTAATGAATAAATGTACATTCCCTGTTAGCACGAGGAGGAGGATTCAGAGGACGAAGACGAGGTCTATCATCCATCTGACTTTGAATCGGGATCTGAAGAGAGTGAGGAGGATTCAGAGTACTCTGAGGGTGATACGGAAGAGAGTGATGCGTCGGTAGATGATGAATTAGGTAGGGTTTTTTAAACGCTCAAAACTTGCGGCAAGACAAAGGTTATTTTCTCTACTAGGGTCCGAGGAAGAATCTGGCAAAGACTGGTCCGACTTGGAGAGGGAAGCCGCCGAAGAAGACCGCGAAAGGGTGTACGATGAGTTTGAGGATCGTAAAGGAGGTCGCAAAAACAATTTCCCATCTAAGGATAAATCGAAGTCATCAAGCAAACATTCCAGCTCGAAGCACAACTCAAGTAACCATAAGAGCAATTCCAGTAGTCGACATAATTCAACCAGTAAACATAACAGCAGCAGTAGTAGTCGAGATAAAGGTTAGCAAATTCGTTTTTTTATACTGATTGATCATGATTTGGTTAGAAAGTGAAGAATGTGTTTTGATGACGATTAATTTTTTAAAATATTTGTTATTTTCAGATCGTGACCGAGGAAAGGATAAAAACAAACATTCATCGTCTGGATCGAAGCACAAATCATCTTCGAATCACTCGCCTTCAAAAGACAAGAGTCGTAACAGTTCCTCCTCAAAGGACAAGGATCGTCATAATTCGTCGTCTTCAGGTAAAAAGAGGAGCCACGATGATAGCGGCGATAAACACAGGTCCAAAAAGCCTAGAAAGTAAACTCCAGTTTCAGGTTTTTGTTACAAAAGACTGTTTTCGGTTATTCAGTGTTACGATTTTTCTACATTGCAAATAAACCGGTAACAACCAATTACTTGTTCGTTTAGTTTTCTGTTCGATACAGATTAGCCTCAGTTTTGTATTTTCTAATGTTGTAACTTGTTAACGCTCTCCACACAATTACATGTATAAAAGTTAGCTTTAGTTATGTTTTTGATTCATACGGCGTTTTGTATTTTGAATGTGTGGTGCTGAAATAAATGTCTTACATTTTATCCTTTAGTTACTTTGAGAGTTTATTTTGTCTAAGATTAGGTGAGGCATGAAAATGCTAAATATTTGTAGGATTTGTGAATTGCAAATGTTTTCTACTAATTGAATAATTTATGGAAAGCAAATGAAAGGAAAGAGTGGACATTTTTTTAACTAAACTAATGAAAATTTTGCAAGTAAATTTATTGGTGCCAATTCATGATAATTGGTAAAAATATTGCTGATAATGCGTACATCTGTATAAATATTGTTGAATAAATAATTATAATCGAGCATATTTAGGTACATAATCTCAGAATACATCGGCCTAGAAAATGTAATTGAATTATTTATCACATGTGCCCCATGATGAAAGGGGCACTAATATTAAAGCAGTTTGACTATTTTCAATCAATATTCTCTAATATCACTGTTCTAGAATAGCTTTGCTTCTACTTCATTCACCGCTCTTGCTAATTCCCTGCCTTCAACGTCTCTAACGCCTTGCTTCCGAAACATTTCTATCTGAGCTGAGAGTTCCTCAGTGTTCTTTTTGTGACCTTCGTATACCTTTATGCTGGCATTTAGCAAAGGGAGGTACAATTCGAGCACGTCGCTATCACTAGAAACTTGCCTTTTATTGCAACGAAACTCCCGTTAAGGACTGATTACCTGACACCATCAAATCTGTATAGGGCAAGTTTTGTCCATTTCAAAGACTCTTCCAAGGTGGGACATTCTGAGCAACAGGCAACAATTCGGCAAAGCGTTAGGATAACCGCATGAGATCTATCTGAAAAAGTCTTCACAGCATTGTTAGGATTTAATTTACCTTCTGGTGCGAATAGCAAAAAATCGCTTACTTTATTTAGCAACTTAAAAATTTTTTGGAACCCTTCATAGGCCGCAGCGTATGAATGTGAGGCAAGAAGCTGTTTAGCTTCACTCAGTTCAGGCTCTTGCAAAAACAGTTGCATAGCCCTAGAGGTTCGGAGTTTAGTTTCTTGCGAAATACGCTTCAGAATACCCTCGAAAGCAGTGCTTCTAGCCGTTATAAGTTCATTGTCGAAATTCCCCGTTAAGACTTTCTTAGGGAATGCAATATCTTGAAACATTGTGGGAAACTCTTTCCTCAGCAGGGTATAAAGGGTTTCAAACTGGGTGTATCTTCTTTCTATCACAGAAGGCGTTAAATCATCATTCCCAGATATAAATCGTACTTGCAACGTATAAATAACATATTTTTTGTCTTCGGGTTTTTCTGATATCCTGGCTGATATGATTTCGAAAATCAGGCCCTGTTTATCTGCATCTGAAACGCAGTAAATATGAAACGACCTTATGAAATATATGGGAATATTTTACTCATAATCTGAGTCATTTTCAAGGCACCACTCTTTGTTCACTGCTGTTCAAGATGACAATGGTTTGTTTATTGTTTTTAACCTTAAAAAAATAAGAAATACAGAGGATTGACAATTAAATTCTGCCAATATCACCCTGCTGAACATATATTACTTCTAAAGTAAATCTAATTCTTTTCAGCATTTAACTTCGTTTGTATTACAGTTTGAAATCGTCTAGCCTAGTAATTGTAAAGCTTCAAAAACTTTGTGTTTTGTAACAGATCCATTATTTAATATAACGCAAAATGTTCTAGTGTTGGCAACACTGAAAATATTTGCTTTTCTCTAATGACAACCAATCTGTCAGAAAACAGGTCCTTTGAGGTTAATTATGTTTTCCTTTAATATTATTAATGACTTTGGAAATAATTTTCAACTAATTAAGCATCTGAAGTCAAAATAGCGGTCCTTTGGCATAGGATACACTTCGGGGGAAAGGAGGGCCACTAGAGAAAACACACAGCCACGAAGAGCGCCATCATGAGTTCTCTTGTTTCAAGTTACTTGGGAGCCTCTACTTTTAACTGGCAAGAGTTTGTTTGTGGATGGGGAGCCGCAGTTATTAATGTATCTGTGACTTACCCTATCAATAAGCTGATTTTTAGACAGGTAGATATCTGATTGTTGCTCAATATGCTCCTATCTAAAACCTCTACAAATCTCTTTCCAACACACCCTTATTTATTGCTACCCATAAACTTTCCTTTTAGATGCTCCACGGAATTCAGGCTGAAAGTGCATACCATCAGCTGAGAGAAGAGGGCATGTACTATTTATATCGGGGCATGCTTCCTCCACTATGCCAAAAGTCGCTATCACTTTCCTTAATGTTTGGTGTATATGAAGAAGTCCGTCATCCACTAGTCAAGCTTAATGTTGATCCCTATTCAGCTAAATGCATAGGAGGTTTAGTGTCTGGAACGAGCGAAGCCCTATTAATGCCCTTTGAAAGGATCCAGACTTTGCTTTCCAACTCGCATTATCATGATGAATTCAGAAATACTGCTCATGCATTTAAAAGACTGGGACAGTTTGGAGTTAGGGAGTATTACAGGGGCCTGGTACCAATCCTGCTTCGAAATGGCCCGTCGAATGCCTGTTTTTTCGTGTTGCGAGAAGAGTTGCAGGAAAACATTAATGAAATTAATAACGAACTAGTCAAAACTTGTGCTGAATTTGTCGGCGGCGCTTTAATAGGAGTGGTTTTGTCCACATTCTTTTATCCATTGAACGTTTTAAAAGTGGCCATGCAGAATAAAATCGGCGGCCAATTCGAAAATCCCTGGAAAGTCCTCTTGCAGGTTTACAAGGAAAGAGGCGGAAAAATCAGGTATATTTATCATGGTGTTCAAATGAACTGCACACGGGCGTTCGTTAGTTGGGGTGTTATGAATGCCGCTTATGAGCACCTCAAAGAAATTGTCTATTAATCCTCTGTTGATTCCTCAAAGTCTATTTTTGTTACTGTATTTTAGTTGTACTTTGTTAAGCTAGGTAGGATAGTTATTTCAATTGCCGCTGTAAATAACTTTTTTATACTTTTAACTTCTAGACTCAGTTGTGGATAAGTGGTGCTGATCAGGGTAAATGGGACTAAAGGAAATTAACGTTTAAAGCACTAACGGGTGCTTTAAACACAATTGGGTTGATTAAGATATTAGTCTCAAAATCTAGTACTTATCCACAGAATAATTGTCCTGATTGGCCCTACTAGTCGCTAGTCTTATACATAAAAAACTATAAAAATTGTGATATACGCACTAGATATGCACTGAATGTTAAATGTTAAGTTTAAAGTAAAAAGCTATGCATCATGAAACCGAAACGCCCGCAGTATATTATTAGCACTCGCCCTGACTCAGAAGGATAACGATTCCACTGAAATCTCCGTCCACTTCCTTCTTCGAACTAATTTCATTAACAACTATTCAGTTCAGTCTCCCAGTAAGCCTTCAGAGCCCATAATATAAAATGAATAATTATCAACTACCAGCGACAGAACAAAAAGGTATAAACAAGCGAGACTGTTTTCGTAAAAGGGGGGCTTATTATTGCTGGGTTTTTATGTCTGCGGAGTACAGCAGCGGAAACATTACTTTACATTTATAAGCGCACTAAATTAAAAATTGTTAAGCTACCTGGCTAATTGCCGCCCAAAGAAAATTGGTTCCAAAACGTTAAGTGGCGCACCGGAACGACTGGCGAAAGAACAACGGCCGGCTCTTCTATTTCTTATGACGCCCCTTAAACGACTCCCCTGATCGCCCTTAACATTAATTTGATCGTGCTGTAGCACGAGGGCAGCTTAAATACAATAACATGGTTAATGAGTTTGCAGAAGAATGAACATTTTCGTTTTATATTCGGGATTTTTGAGTTTCCGAAGTGTTATCGAGATCAGTGAACATTGAGAACTGAAAACGAAAGTTCTATAATCAACTGATCAATTTTTATCGCTTGTAGGAAAAAAAGTCAACACAGATGAGTGCAAAAATCTTTACAAACAGAAATAAAATGAATCAAGACTCTGAGTCATAATTTTCGAACTTTTTTGGTTTACCGTAGTTATTCTAAATATTTCACATGATTAGGTGAAGATAAATAGAAACATTTTGTTTAAACCTGTGAAAACGAATAAAACAGAGAAGAAAAGAAAATATTTAAATGAACAAAAGGCTCAATAATCAAGTTTTAAACATATCAGGTACCAATAATATATTCCAAAAGTTTCTCAATATTGCTAAACATTGGAAAAATTTCCTGACTGGTTTGGAGTCCTCCTTTTTTTCATTTTATTTAGATCAAATTTTGAAACAAGATTAAAATTTAACTATTTTTAACTTTTTTAATTTTAAAATTTAACAAATAACAACCTACCGACGAAACAATCACATCCGTTACAAATCGAAAAATAATTTTTTTTGAAATTGCTGAATTAATTAATTGATATATAAAATACAACTTTTTACAGCTTTTAGAGCCCTTAAATACAGTCGAAACGTTGGCTCAAGAAACATTGTGTCTTTTCTGCGTCTTTCTATTTGAACTTAAACTATTGTTGCGATGAACGCACGCAGCTAAACAGGCATCTTCTACCGATAAAATATAACAATATTTACAAAATGCAAGCTCAATCCCAATAGCAAGCAGAAATTTAAATTGGGAACAAAAATTTAAAAGAAACTCATAACACTGAATTTTTATTTTAGATAATTAATTGTCTCATTTTTTCCGTCAAAATCCATCGCAGATAACAAGAAATTAACAAAAGAGAGAAACTTCTAAATTGAACCGGAAATTTGATTTTCTGTTGAGCAAAAATATTAATTAATGTCTACCTAAATTATATCTTTAGCAAAAGCTTGCTTTGTTTTACTCATAGATTGAAACAATTTATAACTATACTGAGCGTTCCATTAAAAAATAATAAATTCGGCGCTCATTTCTAGTCTTCGATAATTGATTAATGCTCGAATTTTGTTGCATAATAAGAAACCAAAATAAATGAAGCTGAATAATCACCAGGCCTTGTAGAGGTTTTGAGATTTTTAACTTATTAATAAGGCGCAATATTTGTTATCACATAATTGGAAAATATAAAATCTCATAATTGAAAAAACCTTTTTCAATAAAAGCATTATTTTAGAATGTTTGAGCCGTTTCTTGACTGAAAAAAAAAACCGTTGCTTTAAAGCAATTTTTCTACTCAGTTAATTCAGTTCTGGTTGATAAAAATACAAAATGGTTACAATAGGGGCGATTTTCTAATGACCCACTCGGAACAACGACTTTGTAGGTTTAACAGTAACCAACCGAGATTGAGTGCGATAAAACAAATTGTCTATTTTGTATTATTGCACGACCCATAATTAGTCGATTTCGCCGAGCGACAACAATGAACATAATGGCACATCGACACCGAACAAAAAATCTCTTTTTAATTGTCCAGCCATTTGGAATGTTACCAAAAAGCCCAAATGTACGAATTATGTTTAGATTAGTCGGTAATGCCGAGATCGCGTTAATAACGGCCGAATAAAATACAGAGTGTTTATGTAAAATTGCATGTTATTTTAGGCTGGGACCGTTTGAAATCGTGCCAGCTTTTTCTACAAGGCATTGTTAACAAAAACAACGAATTGCCAATCGGATTTTGTTTATATAAATGCCACAAAGAAATGATCAGCTTTAGTGCGCATTTGAAATATCCAATCGGGACGATGCGGTTTGCTGAATTCTGGATGTGGACAATTATTTAATTATAGATATAATTTGATCTTCTTTTGCTTCGCTTCTAAATGTTTGCCTATTTAATTAATTATTTTCACAGTTCAAAGTTTTTTTGCGTGAGCTTTGAAAGGAAATTATTGGGCAAAAGTGCACATTTTTTGTTTTGAACAGCATTTGTTTTTATGAGGGATATTGCAGGATTTAAAGGTTGTAGACATATATATTGTTGAAATTTTAGACGTCGAAAATACCGTTTTTAATAGTTCGCATTTGCTGTACCGATTTATTAAAAAACTCACTAAATCATCAATCAACCATTGAATCAAACCAGAGTGAACATTTCCTATAAAAACAAAAAAATAAAAAACCTGGGTTTACCCAAAAAACAGGTAAATCAAGCTGAACAATAATTAAAAATATGCATAATAATAAAAACAGAAACAAATTTAACTTTGTCGTACAAAGTTGATCTAAACATCACAAACGTGTCTTTCTCGCTAACTAAACGCGCTAAGTATCTTTTCAGCTCAAAATCGTCGTTGTTGTTGGAATTTAGGAAGTTTTGTGCAAATTTATTTTTCAGCTGGTTTCTTTTCGGAAATTGAACTTTGTCGTACAAAGTTGGTCTAAACATCACAAACGTGTTTTTCTCGCTAACTAAACACGCTAAGTATCTTTTCAGCTCAAAATCGTCGTTTTTGTTGTAATTTTGGAAGTTTTGTGCAAATTTATTTTTCAGCCGGTTTCTCTTCGGAAATTTAACTTTGTCGTATAAAGTTGGTCTAAACATCATAAACTTGTTTTTCTCGCTAACTAAATGCGCTAAGTATCTTTTCAGCTCTAAATCGTCGTTTTTGTTGGAATTTAGGAAGTTTTGTGCAAATTTATTTTTCAGCTGGTTTCTCTTCGGAAATTGAACTTTGTCGTACAAAGTTGGTCTAAACATCACAAACGTGTCTTTCTCATGGCTAACAATGTTAGGGAGATTTGATCCAAATTATGTATATTTAAAACATACTAAATCAGTATCTAAAAATAAATAAAAAATCATAGACAAACAATCGTCTAATGCATAAAACTCAATAACGCAGTTGGCGCTGAACTAAATGCATCCAAAACCTCAGGAACTAAACTCTGCAAATCTCCACTTAACATTCCCTTCAAAACATCAATCAAATACGTTCGTTTGATTGAATCTTGTAATGCAGTGGAAAATCAGGAGGATAAATGTATTTATTGTTATTTGAAAGCTTCCAAGATACACTTACTTACAAACTAATCGGTCTCGAACGGTGCTCTTATCATGAGAATCGCATAGTATGTGCATTTGCAAACAATCAAGTTCACTAAAAGTGGCCATCATTTAACCGCGAATTAAAACTTTCAAATCGTTCTGGGAAATCTTCGGATTGCAAGCCTAGCAGATTTTGACTAGCGATAACAAAAATAATTAATTTGTTGTTAAAAGGGCATCAAACTGCTGCCCTAAGGCAGGTGCGTAAATCCAGTCCCGAGCTAAAGAGAAATTTGGCATTAGGAATGCAAATTGTTGGCACAATTTAATTTATTTGCTATTTAACGACAAGCACAAGATTTTTTGAATAGCCGCAAAACTGGAAGCAAATCCGCGAAGAATTATTAATTGAAACCTAAGCAAACGAGAAATGTGAGGAATTTAGTACATAATTAGCAGGGCCGACGAACGCGCGAAACCAATAAAGCAAATAAGACTAGTGCAGTAAAGTCGAAAGCAAAATTAATTAAAAAATTGTGTAGGCTGTCATCTGACATTTTTCGAATGCTGAAGACCTTTATGAATGAGTCCGTATCAGCAGTGGTAGCAAGCGCTGTCCGATCCCAGACAAAATATTATCAAGTTTTACACATAAACGCGTTCCTTAACCAGCGGGAATTTCATGATTTATCTGGAGGTGTTACTGTCTGAAATACCTGGCGTTTCATATTTTGTAATTTTATATGCCTCCTTACACTCGCCTGTATGATTTGTTTGTCACTAAAACCGGAAGAAATAAACCACATTACAATGGCAAGACTTTTGAAGACTTTTTGAAGAAGAAAATGTTTTTTGGGAAAATCTTGGTTGCCGCATTTTCCCGATCGCTTAATCAGGGGAAGTTTCAACATTTCCTCAAATTTAATCGAATTTATAATTTATTAAGTGTAAATAAAATGCAATTTTCTAAGATATTAAAAATTGCCATGAGCCATGAATGAGTCAGTTCGATAAAAGACCGAGTTTTTTCCATATATTGTCTTTTGGAACGAATTTTGAGGCAATTTAAAATCAACTAATTTATCCGAGAAAGATAAATCGCGGATAAATCTCATATAAATCGGAAGCACACGCGTCACACCCTCCCGATTAGAATCGGACAGCTTAGTTTATCTCCCGCTTCTAATTGGGATTATTTGCTAAACAAAAGGTTTTGTTATCGAACAAGGGTCGTGCTGCCGCGGCGCTAAAAGGGGAGGCGGAAGATTTAGAGATTTCGAATTTTATTGCGCAGAAAAATAATTTAATGATTACATCCTGTATTGATCGCTCAGCCTGTCGACTTCTTTATATTCCTGCAG